CCTATGCAGGGGGTCGGACTCGATGATCTATTGAGGTCCCTTCCGACCCTAACGTCTATGAATCAGTCTTCGCAGATTAGTTTAAACTGAGCAGATTGAACTGATAAAGCAAGTGAATGGACATTCACTTTTGATTCTGGAAATGCAGCCACATGCCTGCAGTGGCATTATACCACTATAACACCTCCCAGCTCAGCTGGAGCAGACAGCTTGGGCCAAGACTAGAGTGCTCATCCTGCAAGGAGGGATTTGCAGGGGAGGGGCAAAGTATCCTGGGATGCTGGGGCACTGAGAGTTAATTTGAACCTGGAGGGGATTTGAGACAGATGTTCAATAAACCAATCTAACTTAAATCAGTTAAGTCTGATACTACATCCATCCAGGTTTATCTTCAACTGGTTTCAGCCATTTTGAAAGCAGTTTATGTGCATTGAACTTCTGTTGTGTTACAGATTTAACATAATTTGCAAACACTTATACCCGTTTGTGTAATTTCTGTCCCTAGCCTTGCTGTTCCCTTAAGAATCCGCCCGAATTTGACCAAGTTATAAACATGTGAAAAAACATGTATTGCATATGGCCTGTAGATGCTTCTTGGCATTTAACAGTTAAAATATCTGAGGACTCCATATATGCTGTACTGGTTCAAGCTCTACAAGTTTCTATTAGTAAATTAGACTAAACACATACCATCCAGGCAAGGTACCAGCCTGGAGCAGCTGTTGCAGAGAATGTCTTTCTGAGCCCCAACTCTCTTGGAGTTGAGCATGCTCAGTTGATTTTCCTGTAATAGCTGGTCCAGGTCAGGGTCTTTGCTGAGCACCACTGTTGAGAGTAGGGATTCCAACTTGTCCTGCTAGCACCCGAAGTGTATAGAGAAGGGAGGCACCTGGCTCATGAGAAAGGGGACAAGACCTGAACTAGGGGAAGAGAATGGAGTTAACGCAAGGCAGAGAGAGAATGGCCTTATTCAGACAGTTGTTTGTGAACCTAGAGGATTGGAACGTGTCCCTAATGTGGTTACTGAATTCCCACAGGATGCTAGGCAGGTTACTTCAACCAAGTTTTGTACAGGTCAGCATTAATTGTGCATAGCTTGAGACTCAGGAATCACTTTCAGAATGCTGGAGTTGTGCATTAAATGTCTCAAGTACTATATTTTGCTGAGTGCTTTGAAAAATTTGATGTTAGACAACTCAAATTGGGCCTCGCAAATCTGTGGGCATCAATGCCATAGGAAAGTCTACCCACAGTTGTATAATTCTTTGTTCAAAGCTGGGGTTTGAATAATTTAGTCAGTAAGGCCTTAGAGCAAGAAATTGAATAATAAACAGAAAATAAAATATGCAGTCGCCACTCATTAAATGAACACCATCCACTCTGCACAGATCTGAGACTGGTCTTATAGAAAAAATGTAATCCTGTAATTAAGATTGTATCCTAATGCATATATACAGAAGAATTGGTGAATTGAGATTGCAGAGGCAACTGTAATTTTGGCAGTTTTTTACTAAATACAAGAGTGCTATTATTTAAATAGCACTTCCCAGGCAAAGAATTCTGAGAGGCAATAGCTTTGTCTGCATAAAAACCTGCCAAGTTTACAACAGCCTTGTGAAGTAGCTGTTGAGTTTGTAATAGAACAGCAGTCTGCATTCTCTGGTTCTAATCCTCACTAGCCTACATTTCTTCCTCATGTACTTTAGTTGAATTTTTTTTTTTCAAAAGATGGTTTGGGAGAGTCTGAAGATGGTTGACTTCCTTTGTCTGACTACATTAAAAAGAGATCAGGCCTGAATTGCAAATTTGATCTGGGACTCTGTGTTGGCCAAACATGGAGGTTGGGACCCATGTTCAATAGAAACTAATCAGTGAGAGCCATGTGAAGGATAAACTTGTCTGATTTCTTTTTCAGTTCTTGGGGTATTTGAATATATTGTTAAGCCTTTTGAGAAATTTACTTTAGTTTGTAAATATTGCCATGAAACATGTACGCTTCTTTCTGTGACAGCTTACAATGAGTCTTTTAGCCATTTTTACTCTTTCTGCTGTGGGAATAAATTTGTCTGGCAAAACTTTGTAAAATTAAAACTTCTGTTTCCCTCCTTTGTCTTGGTTTTTAAACTACTTGGGAGGAAAAATGTCTCATCTGTAGTCTGTAAATTCAGTATAATTTTAGTTTGCTCCATATGTGTTCTGTAGTTAAGTATGAATCGGGGAAAATGAACCACTTCCAGAATAACATGAGCGAGCAAGCAAGTCTGTAAAAAATGTGACAAATGCACTTGAAAGGTAGATCATTCTTCTAAGTCAAATCTCATTTGGATACATGATTTAACTTTATTTTCCTGCTGTAATTTAGGGGATTTGTTCATGCCAAATTGCTAAGAAATCCATTTGAGACTAGATGGATGTCAGCTTTATTACTTGAAAAGTTAACTTTTGTCCTTATTCCCATTATAGTTGGGCATCTTGTTCTGTGGCGGAAGGGCCTGAGTGTCAAGCTGGTAACCAGAAGGCAAGCAGTTCAAGTCTGGGTGTTGGCAAGTGATCTTAAGTCTCAATGTATGGTCCTTGCTTGGCTGAAAATTTGGGGTTTGGACTAGATGACCTCCAGAGGTCCCTTCTAATTCTATAAGGTAGTTTTGAGAGGTCCAGAATTCTAGATGGAGCATGAACCCTAAAAAGCTGCAGTGATTTAGACAGACAAGGTTCTTTGGGTATATCTAATATCTTTTATTAGACCAACTATAAAATAGTTGGAAAAATTCTTCTTTGTGAGCTTGCAATGAACAGTTGTTCTAACTATTTTAGTTGGTCTAATAAAAGATATTGGATTTACCCAAAGAACCTTGTCTGCCTATGTCTTTAAACCAACACAGCTACAACCAGTACCACTTAAGCAGTGATTTAGAAGCATTTTAGATGGATTGATAAAACAATATACTATATTTGAACCTAAATGTTTGTAGATTTAAATATGTGCTTAATTTTATGCCCTGGGAATAATTCCATTGAAGTTTTTGTGACGGTGTGTAAAGTTTAAACATATGTGAACATCTCTGAAGGATCCAAGCTTTAATAATTAAAAATGAACATAAGTGGAACTCTTAACATACATTATTAATCAAAAACCTACACCAGATCAAAGGAAGGAACATAAAAGCTATATAATGTGAATAGTCTAGTAGAAAAAGAATGCCACACAACTGGCAGAGTATACTTTGTTTTAAATAATCTAATCTGCTTCTTTTCCTTGTAGCATTTGAGAAAATGGATGTAACTGGATGCTGCAGGGATCTAATTAAGATATTGGAGCAAGCGGATAACATGAGGGAAAAACTCACCCCACTGAAGTTAATTGATGCTTGGCTGGGGAAGGGTTTGTCCAAGTTACGAGTTGCTGATGTTGTTTCCCCAAAGTTCCCTCGTGATGAACTGGAGAGGATTGTTGCTCATTTAATACTGCAGCAGTATCTGAAGTATGGATGACAGTGTTTACAGTTACTATCCCTTCCTTTGAAATTTGTTAGTTATTTCAATATAATATTAATTATGGACGCTATAGTAGTACCTTCATTTCAGAAGTGCATTGCTTGTCTATAAAAATTTAGCACAGAAGAATGTTTTCCAGGAGTAAAATAAAAGTGACAGGTTATTTTTCTTGGAGAGAGAAATTGGAAAATTAAAAAGATAAAAATAGAAATTTATAGCATGAAATACCATTTTTTCTGCCTCTTGCAGCTTTGGCTATGGACAGTTTCTAATCAGAGACCTCAAACTTGCAGTAAGTTCCACTTTTTTGGCAAGTCAGCTGCTGCACTACCTTGACTGTGAAGAGGTGAGGAAGACACAGGAGTCTGCTCCTGTAGAGCTTATTGTAGAGATGGGGGTTTGGTGAGGAAAGAGGCTTTAAGGAAATACAGTGAGAACACAGAGACACACAGATAGCCACACACGTTCCAGATAAACGTAAATTCTGTACAGCTAATCAGACGTGAATTTTAAAAAGTTAGTGAACGGTTGCTAGAATAGGTAAATCAGAGTCAAGGTGCAGTGGGGGGCATTTGCCCATAAGTTTCTAACTATATCCATATTTTCTTTTTACATAATTTCAGTTCTAAAATCTTAACTTTGTATTAATTTTTGCAGGGAGGATTTCAGTTTCACAGCTTTTGCTACAATATCCTACTTGAAGATAGGACCAAAAGCTAACCTGCTGAAAAATGAAGCACATGTCATTACCATGCAAGGGAGACTAGACAGGAAAAGTGCAATCAAGGTATTTACATTGACTTATCACATGATTATTTTTATTAGGATTTACCATAGCTGGTTACTCTCCATGATATTAGGGATGTTTTTAGCAGTGTACTTCTGATGCCTTGTTAAATATGTTTGTTTTGATCCTTCTGCGATAGCAGCTTTCTAATTACCCATCTTAAGATGCAAAGAACCTCTTCTGAAGTATCATTTGTCTTTGTTTTTTATTTTTTACATTTGAACTGAGAGGGTTTATTCATCATTTCACTGTTTATAATATAATGTGATTTACACAAGTGACCTATATTTAGAAACCTAATATCAGTAAAAACATAGTTTTTGCCATTCTGAAAAATAAAAACAACTCTGTGTGAAATCTCTTTAACAGCTTTAATTGGGCATGGGTTCTACATTAGGCAGTGTAGTGGTGCTTAACTGTATTTGAAATCTTTTTTGACAATAACTCAAAAGCCCTAGAGATATATTTTAAGTTGCACCTATCCAAATCCCTAGTAAGACTACCAATTTCAGTCATGTTAAGGTTTTATAACGTCATATGACAAGAATTTGTGTATTTACATTTATACGAAGTATTGTTATAATTATTGTTGTGTACAATTTAATCAGTTTTTTGCTTGTTCCCCCTACCCCAGTTAAAATGAAGTAGAAAACCAGTGGGATGTATAACATTGGATACCACTTAAATTTTACAGTTATTTTGACATACATGTTTGCCTGACTGTCAGATCTTGCTCATGTAAGAACTGTGTTCATATGATCACAAATTGGCAGTCAGACCTGTGATCAGTTCTTGTGATGTAGAAACTGTTTGCAGTGAAGCCACATTGGCATTGGTATGAGTGGAGGAAATAATTGCTGTAGTGACTAGTCTGGAAAATATCAACTATTCTACTTCATAATGTCTCAGAATATTTGTCAGGGTTACATCATATGCATTTGTTTGTAGATGTCGTGACTGACATTATAAGCAAATCTTGGATCAGCTGTATCAGTTTTTCGGTATATGCCAGGTACTCTGGGGAGGATGATGCACTATCAGTTTTGACCCACATATTTCACCCTTGAAAAAGTTTGTGCCAAAGGAACCACCCACAGGTGTTGTTATGAACAGAGAGAGAGGAGTGTGGCTCAAAATGGTCTGTGGCCACCAAAAGAGAAAATGTCTACTTTGCAATAATGAGATTTTGAGTTTTAAAGTGTGTTGTTTGTATTGCCTTCTTTCTAAGAAGACGGAGGAGGAGGAGAAGCTGAGTACCTTAACTGAGCTTTATTTCTAATTCTCAGCTCAAATCTCCTCGGCCTTCTTTCTCTGAAGGGACTGGTGGAAAAGCACTTAACACTTCAGGGACTGTCCAAAACTCAACTGCAAAGAAGGCAAAGGAGCATAAATGGTCTTGCGATGAGAGCGACTTAAAAGCAAAGAAGCTTAAACTTGAGAAAGATGACAATGACCAGATAGTGGTTCTTGATTGAGTTTTAGAAAGAAAAGTACATATAGCACCCTGTCATACTTGCTTCTCTGTGGAAAACCCAGTGCATAAGTATAAGTTGTATTTTAGTTACTGTATTATTTAAAATCCAAATGTTATGTATTATTCTGCCGAAATGTCTGGAAAACAAATATGTCCAATTCCTGGCTGTCTTCTCCCTCCCCAAAACTGACAAAAATATCTAGTATCACAGTGGTAAGTAGCTAAAGGGGGGAAAAACACAAAAGCTTTATATCAAAGAACATGAGCAAGCAAACTACTGTGCAGTTAGAATAGAGTGGAAATCACTGTCACCAGTAATAGACTGTATGCATGCTCTTGCCTTGCTGGAATTGAGAGCAGATAAAAGGCAACTTGCCATTCTTCTTTTTGTGGTGGATTGAGAGCAGGCATAACGTTATCATAGAATAGCTGATGCACTATAACTCTCTTGTCTTCCAGTAGCTTGTTCATGTGGCCATGCTCAAAGTAATATGTATCTGGTGATATGAAGGTAGTAACTGAAGTGCAAGTCCTTTTGTTTTTGTTGCCGCCTTTGCCATCTTTATTTTACACATGAGATATGATGGTATAAGATACTTTTGTATTAGATGCACTTACAACTTCCATATAGACAAAAGGCATCTTTATTACACTGCTTCTTGTGATAGGAAAATTAAATTAGACCATTTGTTCACATACAAGAATGGAAATGCTCATCTTAATTTAACTCTTGGAAACTGATGCCAGATCTTAAACTTTCCAACTGAAATAAAAAACCAAAGGAATTTAAGGGTAGGATTTTCAAGAGCATCCAACAGGATTAAGTACTATATTCCAATAAAAAGTAACATTTCTTGGTATTTGAACAGATTTCTTTTGGGTTAGTTTTGCATTACATTATTTGGGGACTGTACACACAGTTGTTTTGCTAATTAAATAAAAACAAATTTTACACTCAGACCGTAGAAAAAGTTTGGTGCATTTGAGACTGGCTCTACTCTAGTCCATTTTAAAGTCAGTGGGAGGTCTGCCATTTTCTGAGGGATGATCACATCCCTCTGCTCCAGTCTGTGCTGGGGTAGACTGTGGCAGCATTCTCCAGTGATCTGTTGGAGCATGTGCTCCGTAGCATGTGGAGCAGTGGTAGAAATGTTACTTTTTATCCTTATACCAAGATTCGTAAGTGCTTCAGGCTTAGAATATAGCCTCTATATAGACTTGGAATCTGTTTTGTAAGATCAGTGCTTTTTGTGAGAAGTGTATCTATTCATTTAAGAATATCTACTTTTTATGCAAAGAAAACAGAAACTGAACAAGCCCTATTTCTAACACTGATCTATCTGCTTAGATCAGCATTTCTCAACCCATGGGTCATAACCCAAAGTGGGTTGCAAGAAAGGGTCATGAACAAACTTTAAAAATGGATTCTCCTTTTAAAGAAGGAAAACAGGGGAAGCTGTGGGTTTTACCTTGCAGGCTGGCAGAGTTCCAGCCTGCAAGGGACTGCTTGGCGGGGCCCCATGATGTACACACATCACCCTTGTCCCACACACCCATCCTCTGCCCCACACACTGGGGACCTGGGGGTGGGTGGCAGCTGCTTAAGAGTGAGGGGCACTGGGTTGGGACTGGCCATTGGTGTTTACAGATGGGTCCTGGTACAAAATGCTTGAGAACCACTTGCTTAGATGATCATGGGATTAAGCCAAGAGGGAAGCAAGACATCTTTATTGGTTTATCTGTAGTGAAAAAGGAAATAAATCAAGTGTTGGGCAGACAGAGAACACGCCTCAAAATATAGAGCTAGACCCTGGACTGGTGTATGTTGGTCTAGACTCACTAATGTCAAAGAGTGTTATGGTGATTTTGCACTAATTGACAGTTGGGCTCCTGATTTCAAATTTCAGCATGGGAGCAAAGTAAAGACAGACTATTAAAATACTGGTGCCAGCTGGCCTTTTCTGGAATCTGCAACATGTTGTTCAGCTTCAACTGTGACTATTTTGTGACATTTTAAAAATAATTCTAAGAAAAATTCCAGGTGCTCAACTCTCACTGGGTGCTGTCCTTTATGCCTCTTGCAGCCCCTTTACTAACCTCATTTTTTCTCTCCGTGTAGTACCCAAATGATTGACCACGTAAGATAACTCAATAGCTCTTTGATAACAGCCAGGATTAGCAGGAAGCTGTGTGCATTAGACAGACAGAAAATGTTTAAATGTCTAATAACCTATAACACATACATCCCAGTCTCCACTCACCGAACTGCAGTTAACAGCATGGGGTTTGTTGGTAGGGTGTTCATGTGTTCTCACTGGCCAGTGCAGGCTTTAGAAAGCTATTTATTAGGAAAGTGGTATCCCTGACTATTGTGCCTGTGGTTAAATACACAAAATTTTATACTTGCTGGTTTCTTTTTTTCAATGAGTTCTTGCATGTATTTTTAAGTTTGTTATATATGTATCTAGATGGACCCAGACACGTACACCTTGAATTTTGATGAAGTTGCTATCTGGATTGTACCTTGTTCCATGTAAACTGGGATTTTACATTTTGCTAGTTGTGTCCTGGTAGCAATCTGTGCTTCAGGTACTTAAAGTAATATGTATAGAAATTAAAAAAAAAATGAAGATAAAACCATTGGTCAGTAAAATTTGCATATGCTGAGTGTAATACCTCCGTGGGATGGTAGAATGAAACACCAGGAATTCTTAGGTATTTTAGATTATTGGCAATTACTTCTCCAGAAGATACAGGATTGTATTTAATGTGCTGATTTATTCTTTGTGGCACAAAACTTGTTAGTGTGTAAAGTATAATTAAGATGAGGAAGAAATGTTGAAATATGACTGAATGTGCAGGAAAATGAGGGTGTGACAACAAATGGTTTATATGCACATTATGAAAGTGGTAGTAATTTGGTAAATTATGAAACATAATTTAATGTGGTTATTTTGGCATTACTACTGAAAAGATGTCATAGACTTGGCCTTGGCATGGATTTTGGGAAGTAATTTTCATCATAATTTCAAGTAAAGCTTGATTCTAAAAGTTTGGAATTTTGTATGTAAAAGTATTTCTAGTAAAACAAACCAATTTGTCTTTCTAACCAAGCATGTGCAGGATTAGAAGCTGCAGGTAGAAAAGGACTTCAGTTTGATGGGTAGAAGACAGTAGGTACACTGGAGTAGACGACTTCAGAAGAAGGGTAGAAGATAAATGAATATCTAACATATTGTCCTTGATGGATTTGGAAAAACAATTTGCTATTTAAAAAAAGTAGTCAGCTGTGAGCATACCCCCTATCCTCTGTTTTATTTTTGCTCTTTGCTATAAATCCATCCTGGTAGGCTTTTTACTTTTTGCAGACTTGTAGAAATTCTGTATTTAGTAGTTTCAATGCTGTATTTAAGGCATGTTATATGTGGCAATATGTCCTTGGATTAACTGTTTATCTGAAAAACAACAAGAACAAAAATTGCCACATCTTCTCTCATAGCTCTGGACCATTGAGACCAGTTCCCACCATTCCAGTCCTACAAATCCCAGTGGAATATCACTGTAATATATTCCAAATCACATAGGACCAAATGTGGACCGTGTAAATTTAAAGCGAGCACTATCCACCTTTTCATTGCAACTTTACGGTGGTGACAACCGGTAGACTTATCATTGGCAGGCATACAATTTAGTTTTTAAGGCTCAAGACCCACGTACCAACTATGGCCTGTAGGCACCCTCTCTTTGCCCTTGTGTACTTTGCATAATATTTTTATACAAGTGACTGTCTGGACTTACTGCACTTTTTATTACTGAATTAAAAACTGCATTCCTTTGGAAGGTTACTGTTGTGCTTCAAAAATCATCTGTTTTGGAGACTCTTTGAAAGATTGTAAGTAAATCATAGAAGGAATGTACACATCTTGTGTTGCCAAGTAGTATATTTTAGTCCCCTTTGTCTCAAATATGAGTGGCTTTAGTAGTAGAGAATAAGTAAATGCAGAGATCATAAAACTGGTGGCTCTGACAGCAGTGCTTCAGTTTAAGTAGCCTTGCTCCCCCCAGCCCAGTAGACAGACTTGTATCTCATTTCTATGCCATGATCTCTTAATTGACAGGTTATATCTACTTACAATCAACCTATTCTTCACTGACTTACATAGGTATATATCCCCTTTCTCTGGCTAGGAATAGAAGATAAAAATACTGACAACCCAAACTCAGGTGTAACCTTTTTCCTGGAGGAAGGGAAAGACAACAGGGAAGTTGAAAACTGTGTATGAAACTCTGGATCTGTGAACAGGCTCTCACTAGTGCATTTCACAACTGAAGCATAGACTAGGCATAGAGCATGTGCACAGACACTCAACAAAGCTCAGCTGATGCTGAGCAGCTTTTGTCTATAATAGAAGCTTGAGCTTTTTTTATGCACCCATCCAGAAGTATAAATCAAATTAGATATGTACCACATCAAGACACAAAAAAACCCAGAAGCTCCCATTTTATTATAGTAGTCTTAAAACAAGGCTAAGGTGTAGAATTTCACATACAAATAACATGACATTTAAATTCCACAGAAAGTCAGTATATTTGCTCCAGATTAAACCATAATTTAGTCTCCAGATTTAAACTGTAATTACTCTAGCCTTTAAGTAATTAGGCTAGAGTAATTTCCTAGGAGATATCCTAATATAAATAGCTCAACAAAAAGTGCTGTTGCAGTCCTGGAGTCTATTAAACTTGGGAAGAAAATTGCTGCTTTAGAAAGCAGAATTTTAATGGAAAAATGCAAGTGTCATTTCAATAGCATGTATTACAAAATACAGAGAAAAGATATTAAAGAGCAGCCTTAAGGTGCCTGTTTCTGGAAGACTGGCCAGTAATTTAAGCAAACCCTGTGTTCAGTGTATTAAGATTTAAGTTAACTTTCATTCTTACCTCATAATTCATAAGCCAGAATTTCTAAAATAGTGTTGAAACTCCAAAGAAATATCAGTTGCCCCAAAACAGCTTTTGGGCCTTACCTTCTACACCAACATTAGAAACTATTGCAAGAGTGCAAGTAATTCTGAACGGGTTGGGTTGGATGCACGTACGCATGCCACAAAGAACTTAAAGTCCATGGTATATGCTGCCTGAAGTGTAGACTCCATTTTTGGGAATACACTGATAAAAAGTTTTGTAATATCCAAAATGTCATGACATGGCAGCTATCAAGTGTTTCAATCCAGAAGCCTCCTCCAGGGTATACTGTTAATGCAAGTCTTCCCAGTACCATTTTTTAGGAATTGGGATGTTAAGGCACAAGCCCAACTTGCTGAGATGTGTGATAGAACAAAGCAGTATTGCCAAAACACGAGATTAGCTAGTTTGAAGGAGTTAGCCAACTGTCAAACACCTAAGATCATTCCACCCTGGGTGTCACAGTTCCAAGTACATTAACACTACTACATTTTCAGTTTTACAGAATAATCATAACTCCTCATCTAGTCTAACTCTTGCCTACATCAGAGCAATACATGGGTTTATCCCTGTATTTATCCAGTATTTCCTTTTCTGCTCCTGCATTTCAGCACATTTCCCAACAATTAGCTGAGGTGAGTGTCTGGAAATACCAGCAAAAGATCTTTCCAATGTGACTGCAGTTCTACCTGTTCCTTTTTTTCAGGGATTTTCAGATATAATTTATATGCTGTTTAATACACCTCAGTACTGAAGGTCAGAACCTTAATAATGGAGATTGATATTGTGGTTTCAGTCAAAGTAATCCTCTATGTCAACATTTGGATTCAGGAGATCTTCCCCATAGGCTGAAAGATCCATCTGATTCAAAATCAAATTTTCAAAGGTTTCTTCCAAGTCCGTTTCACCAATCAACACAGCTCCCATCATTCTTCCAGTCTGCATCACCACTTTAACATATTCTTGTCCTTTGGTACATCTCAGCATTAGTTCATGGTCTGAACCCAGACCCTGAGCATTATATTTTCCCAAAAGCACCACCTAAAAAAGAAGAAGAAAAAAAATAATGCATTGATTACAAGTTCACCACAATGTGCAAATATTCTCTTTGCTCCAAATACTGTAAACTTCAAAAGGATTAAAGTTAAGGGAAGGCAGGCAGGGAACAATTCTCTGGGTAGACATCTACACAATTCTCATTGACTTGAAAAAGCATGACCAAGACTGGGGTGGCGAACATGCAAGCAGTTTGTGTGTGTGGCATGAAGCAGACCAGTGTGAGGACAGGCAGCATAGCAGCAGGGCAGAAAGCAAAGCAGCAAATTGGGCATGGTTCATAGAGAAGGAAGTAGAACGCAGAGCAGCAGATCAAATGGAAAGCACAGGGCTGGGAACAGAAAGCAAGGGACCAGATCGGGTAAGGGAAGAGAGTCGGACTGGCACTTGGGGAGGTAGTGAAGCTCATCTGTGGCACACCTGCCAGAAGGTTGACT